GTACACGATCGAACTGGGTCATTTGGCGTGCGTTCGTGCCCGGCGTGTTAGGTCAACTTCTAACGGTCTTTTAAGATTTATGACTGTATTCATTGTTAGAGCGTGTTGTGTGTGAAGTCCACAAACGCAGCATTACACAATAACTCATGTTGCTATACTAATAGATTTCAGTCTATTTGTGTCTAGCTTTTATGTCATCGTCTAAAGTTTTCGCAGTTTTAATTAAACTTATATTTTTAGGCGCGTAAATAAGTAATCATTGTATTTTATTTTCTGCTGTAAAAAGAAATTCTCATCACTCAGATGTTTATAATTCGTTTGGAATGATGTGCAAAAAAAAAATGATCAATTAATTTAAGTGATCATGTCCTTTTTTCATTTGTAATACTCAATTGTGCAATATTGAGTTTAAAAAGGGCATATTTCTCACAATTCCAATGTTCTTTTTTAAAGTTTTAACTATGCGCATTTATGTAAATTTTGATGACGTATGTTCYGACGTCATTTTCTCCCCTTAAACGGCAAAATCAGCATTGGGAACAACGATTTTCGGATTCAGCGATAAAAATCACATTAGAATAGCTTTGTTCCCAACTTTAACTAAAATATGCCCCATGAACTTTAGGATTTTGACTTTTTCAATTTTTCGCCTAGTCTAATTATAAATATAGTCTTCATCAAATGAAGAACACTGGTTTGCATCAAGTTCTCCTTCATCAACATCTTCGAATACATCATTTAACATGCATAATATGTCCATAGCAGCATGCTCACTCTTAAATACTGGCAGATTCTCAAGTATATAATCTTTTGTGAAAACGAACTTGGCATGCTTTAAAACGTTTTATATCAAACTTTCAGAAAATAGGGCAGTGACATCCACACCAAGATAGTTGATCTTTCTTGTGTTAAGGTTTTCTTTTATTGTAGTTTTTGTTCTGGAGATTTCAGGGAAGGGAATKGGGCATTTATCWTCACTGCACAAACATTCTTTATGACAGTTTATGCAGCAATTGTGCTTCTCCTGACTTTGTAGGTCTTCCACTYCAAAATCAGCCAACATTCGCTTCCTTAGACAGCCTGAAGTTGCTTTGCACATATCTTTTACCGACTGGTCACAATTCTTAAGATGACGACCATTGTACATAATCAACGCATGGGCAGGCTTCCCATCCCTTCCCGCACGGCCAATCTGCTGGACAAGTTCCTCCATTTCTCGCGGTGGACCACAGTGAACAATCAATCTTATGTCTTGGAAATTTACTCCCATTCCAAGAGCATTAGTGGCAAAAATAAGCCTACACTTGCCATTCTTATCATGAAAGGAATCTAATGTTCTTTCCTGGATTCTGGTAAGCGTAGAATGATGRTACATTGCAAATAGCAAGTTTTCAGAAAGMRTTTCACAATTGGGTGCATATGCATCCACTCCTAATTCTTCTTTAAAATACATAAAGAGGCGGCCACAATCCTTGATAGACTTACAATAGACTATTGTTTTGTCCAATTGTGACACTACTGCCACGTGGTGGGTACGCCTTGTTGCCCCTCCCAAACCAACCRACAATTCGCAGCTTTCCAGCAAAACAATTTTAATCCAGAATTTATAATACTGATAATACTGGAACTTAAACGTGTCCTTCAGGATGAACATTCGTTGTACTTAACTAGATATTTTAACAATATAGCAACTAATGAAAATTGGTCCTTTAAGAGGATCATTCGACTTATTTAACTAGATATTTCAAGCGACTAATTCTAAATAGAATATTTTTTACTTGAGAAGATTTGTTTTCGTA